GAATCCTGCTATATTCTATGCAGTGCTTTAGGTCAGTCCTGAAATCATACACACTCAAGCAACACTAAATGGACACAGTAGATTGTGTATTATGTGTATGTATGTGTGTGTGTGTGCACGCACTAAAAGGGGCCATGAGTTTGAGAGGTAGGAGGGGAATATGGGAGGGTTTGGATGGAGGAAAGGAAAGTTGCAAAGTGATGTAAATATATTTTGATTTAAAAAAATCAAGGGCTGGAGAGATGGCCCAGCAGTTAAGAGCACTGGCTGCTCTTCCAGAGGACCCAAGTTCAATTCTGAGCACCCACATGGCAGCTCACAACTGCCTGTAACTCCAGTTCCAGGGATCTGACATCCTCACAGACATATATGTAGACAAAAGAGCAATGCACTAACATAAGAGTAAATAAATCATTAAAAATATTTAAAAAAAATTAAGAAAAGAAACAAAACCTGACCATTCTTGTATACAGAAGCACCCAATTTAAAAGTGTGTCAGTAGACTTGTCAAATGCCCTTGCCCCGTCCCTCCCCTGGGCTGATGTCCCGGGGAAGTGTGGATGGCTATAGTTAGGATCCCAGACTTAAGGACCTGGCCTCTAGCTCTGCAGCCGGCACAGGGCTAAGCTACCTGCGACTGAGATGCACCTCTTTGGCCCAGCGCTCAGACTAGGGGTCTGGGGTTTGAAGTGAGTTTGCATCTGGGTCTCCTCCCTGGCAGTGTGGTGTCTGCTAACTTGTCACTCCCTGAGGCTATTTGGTCATCTGTAACACGTGAATCGTGACTCCTCCTTTGGAAATTTTGCATGGATTAAATGAGGTTATGCCTGTAAGACGTCCCTGATCAGAATCCTCCAGTCCTGATTAGCAACTGGGTCTATGGGCGGGAGCCTAGCTTTTGCTTTGGCATTGTTTAGTGAGCTTCGCCTCCGATTCCTGTTGCAAGGGTCACTTCTCTGAAGTCCTGGCCTACCTATTGCTGTTGAGTCCCCATCTTGATTTTCAAGCTGCGCATTGGAAGCTAGCATCAGCGCTCAGTCCTCCAGCCCCCTTTACCCAAGGCGTTCAGATCCAGCCAGGCTTGGCAGCTGTGTGACCAGGATGTGGGTGGCCGTTTACCCAGTGTTCTCAGGTGACGGCTTATGTGCAAGGATTGAGGGCCCAGAACAGTAAAAAGTTTGCCTCGTTTCTTTTGCTCTTATAGCATCCAAGAAACCGGTTCAGCAGCACACACCAGTGAGGGAATGACCCTGTTCCTTTGAGAGTGAGACCCCAAGTGTGAGCAGCAAAGGAACCCATGGAAATGTTGTCAGCGAGTAAGCGTTACCCTGTCCCGTGACTGGAGCCCTGGGATAGCTGTAGATTTTCCTGAGTACAAGTTTCTGGTATTTCAGGGCCTGTGTTGTTTCTCATCTCTGCTGCTGTGTAGGAAGCAGCCTGGAGAGTCTGAGCCAGCGTGGCGCTGTTCCAGCGAAATTTCATTTGCAAAACAGGTGCAGGCTGGATTTGGCCTGTGGGCTGTACTTTGCCAACCCAGGCCTAGTAGACACTTGAGAGGCAGCTGGGACTAATGGGAAAAACAAATGGGAAATCACAGGTGGGTTTGAGGGGACCACACTTCTGCCTCTTTCCAGTTCTGGCTTGGCTAAGTCTGTAGAGCTCAAGAGCCTTGGCTCTCACTGGCTTGTCGCGAGAAGTCAGGAGAATGGTGTCTCTGAGGTCTCGGTGGGAAGAGCTGTCGGGGGATGGCGTCCAGTCCACTCAGGGCTGAAGCTCTCTGCACATCCACTTGCTTGTTTGTTTTCAAGCATGAAGCCCAAGTGGAAGAGACGTTTGGGCTTGGGTAGGCCCTGTGGAGGTTGGTGCTGTTACTGGCTGTGGTTTTCACAGCTGAGCAGGCTAACAGCGCGACTGAGCAGAGCCGGTTAGGCGGGTCCAACCGAAGGAAAGCTAACCTAAAATATCACAGCACTGGATGAGTGGCCTTTGTGTTTTCACCTTTAAAGCAAAGATTAGGCTGGTTGGTGGGGGAAAATGGTGATCATCACCCAGCTCTACCTACCGAGGCCGATAGTCTGTTCCTCAGCCAAGCTCTGTCACCCAGTCACTTGGTATCACCCCCAATGGAGGAAGGAGTCAGACAGCAGACTTCTCAATCCTGTAGGAGTTCACAGTCAGATAACACGGAAAAGGAGGAGGTGTGGACAGCGTGCAAACCGGGCAGCACGGCAACGCCTACTACATCCCCCAAACAAGCCAGGCTTCTCTGCCAGACTCTGACTCTATGCTACCCACCAAGATTCCAGCCCCTCCTCCCCAGCCTGGCTTTCCACTTCAGCCCAGCCAAGTGTCACAGCCTCGTCATAGGCTTTCTCTGAACTCAGTCATCTGGCCCTTCACTGACAAGAGCGTGTGAGTGACTGTTATGTACCAGGAAACACTGCTGTGTCTAAGGGACAAACCTCTATTGAGTTCATGCTTTTGAAGACATGCAAGGAGGATTTCTATGATATTCATGTGTTTATGGTTAATATATAATATTATATATTAAGATATATAATATTATTGCATTCAGAAGTGAAACAACCACACATGTATGCTGCCCTTTAGTTCTGCTCTGATCTGTTTTTAAAAATGAAATCCTTAACTGGAGAGATGGCTCAGTGGTTAAGAGCACTGACTGCTCTTACAGAGGACCCAGGTTCAAATCCCAGCATCCAGCTGGTGTCTCATAACCATCTGTAACTACAGTACTGCGAGATGATGCCCTCCTCTGGCCTCTGTGGTTACTGCATTGTGAGAATGACACACAAATAATAATAATAATAAAATACAGGTTTAATGACTGGGCGTGGTGGTGCACGCCTTTAATCCCAGCACTCAGGAGTCGGAGGTGGGAGGATCTCTGTAGCTCGAGGTCAGCCTAGTCTACTTGGGACAGCCAGGACTGCACAGAGAGACCCTGCCTCATAAAACAAAAGTAAGCAAGCAAGCAAACAAACAAACAAAAACGAAAAAATCTATAGGTTTGTTCTGTTACTGGTAGTAAATTTAATAACCTTGATCCTTGTCTTGAAAGACTCCAAATGCATTTGTAAGCCCCCTCAACCCTAAGACATTTTTCCAAAACCTTATACTCACTCTCTCTTGGAAACGGGACAGTTGCTCCCCCCGTCCCATGCTGGACTGCTCATCCTCCTGTGTCCTTGTGAATAATCTTCGAACATAACTCCATTCTGTGAATTGAGGCAAAGACAACCCACAGATGTTGACTCAGTTCCTGATGTTTGATTTGGTCACTAGAACAAGGCCAGGAAGGCCACAGATGCTCCCCTTATCTCACCTGACCACGCAGCTATTCTCCTGCCCTGGAATAGACCAATCACTGCTAGTGACCCTTGAATAGGCCAATCCAATAAGCTGGAGAACAACCTACAGGGTCCCCCCTTGTGTCTGTGGCTTTTTGCATTAAAAGATGGACAGTACCAGCTATCAGATGTTCTTCATATCCCGAACATGAAGGGCCCTGTCATGACAGAATAAAAATCCTCTTGCTTTTGCATCAATTGTGGTTATGAGAGTGGTGTCTGGAGCAACTCCTTCCTGATGTTTGGACTTCTAGTCCAACAGTCTAAGGTTGTATCTGTCAGAGAGAGAGTGCTACATGCTGGGTAAGGACTGTCCCCTGTGGCACAATGCTGAGAATAAAATTCTTGCTTCTAGACAACTTTTGATGTTAGCACCTACTGAGTCAGTTACTATGGCGGTGCGGCAAAAATAGTTTTCTCAATTCTGTCATTCTCCCACACTTAACTAGGCAGTGGATTTCTTTACAGAAGAGCCTGTCTTGTACTCCCTACAGTATCCACACGCTCTTGGTTCTATTTACTCTGCTAAGATCTGTTACTGTATTTTGAAAGTAACACTGTTTGCTATTGAGGTAGAGTTTGCACAACAGTGAAATAAACACAGTAAGTGTAGAATTTAATTATAGAGAGAGTATTAGATCCTTGGAGCTAGAGTTGTGGAGGGCTGTGGGCTGCCAGGTGGGTGCTAAGCATTGAACCTGCCTGGGTCCTTTGCAAGAACAAGCACTCTTAACTGCTGAGCCATCTCTCCAGCCCATGTTTTATTCTCCTTAACAGCAAAACCCACTGTTTCCTCAGTGGTCTTCAGGTCCTTCTTTTTAAAAATCCCACTACAAGAGTATTGCAGCTGACATTTGGACACGTGTTCTTGCCCATTTAAGTGTGAGCCTTTTAACTTTCACTCTAGAAGGGGTGGGTTTTATTTTTTGACCTAAGACTTTGTGCATATTTTCATTTTTGTTGGTTTTGTCACATCCCCACCCTCCCACAAAGCTGGACTTCTTCATTTTGAGATTGCTGGTTGGTTCATCCTCGTCAGGACTGGATTTTGCCCGCCCGTGTGTACGTGATGGCGTGGAGTTTGAATTTGGACTCAACCCCTGTGCAAAGCGAATCATAGTCTCTCCTTTCCGTTCCCGGTTTCCCAGCTTTGATTTGCACAGAAGTGAAGTCTCTCCTCGAAGGAGAAGTCCAAGGAGGGTGTTCTGTTCTCTGGCATTCTGTGCCCCTTTCGTCACCACGGCCAGCATTAGGCAGAGGGCGATCTTACTGCCATCATTCTGTATCACCTGGGAAATAAATGCAGGGAGGAAAGACCAAGCTGAAGGCTTCTGGTCCTTTTGGGACTCTTTCCATGTCAAAGTTTACAGTTTGCACTGTGCAGCTGTACCCTTCAATGACGGTCAGAACTGACTTTAGTGTGAGCCATGATGATTGCACACCTGGGGTAGCGGGCTTAGCATTCTACACGCGTGCTCTCTGATAGGCAAGCTAGTATTCACAGCTTTTTTGACTTTTGTCCTAAACATCAAGTCTTGGACTAACCGCCTGTGTGGATGCCTGACAATTTTGTTTTCCTCCCAGGTGTCTGAATGGAGGCAGCTCTTTGCAAGTTTTCTCTTTTCTTCCTAGGTGTTTGAAGCTGTGATTTCATGGATCAATTATGAGAAGGAGACCCGCTTAGACCACATGGCAAAGCTGATGGAGCATGTCCGGCTCCCTCTCTTACCTAGGGATTACCTAGTTCAGGTCAGTGTCTGAGTGGTCAGTGTTGGAGGAGAGTGGAGGGAATGCTGGTTGTGTGGCGTGCCTGCGGATTACCTAGTTCAGGTCAGTGTCTGAGTGGTCAGTGTTGGAGGAGAGTGGAGGGAACACTGGTTGTGTGGCGTGCCTGCAGCGTGTCCTGAGTCTCTGTGTGGATGGAGGGCGGCAACCCCCTGGGCTAAGTGTGGAGAGCTGTTGTAAGACTAAGCAACTGTGAGGGTCCGGGCAGGCGGTCAGCACGGAGCCTGTAACATCCTCCGTACGGGCTGGTTCTCTCTCGGGAGAACAGAGAAAGGAGCATCATTTCATGATGCCCCGCATTCTGCCTCTGCTGTGCTCTTAGGCAACCTGAGGACTAGGGCAGGACTGTGAAAACTGGCTCTTCATAGATGCACAGAGTTCTGTTTCCTCCAAAAGAAGAAGAATAATTAAGCAATCTCAGGTGCGCTTGAGTGTTCTCATTTAGTCCGTGTAGCAACCCTTTGAGTCAGTGGTTACAGGCCTCTTGGTTATGCCCTGCCCTTTTATTTCCTTTCAATTTTGGGCCTTGAAGCTTGGAGACTGAGATGGATCTGGGGTCTCTGGCACCAGGGAGTCAGGATGGAGATTCACGTCCACACGGCTCTGAAGTACACACTTCCATGAGCTTCACCTTTGATAGCCTCTGTCGCGTTTGCACACAGGGTGACTTATTTTGTACATGGTGTTAGACTCTCTTGCAAACCTTCCGAATGTGACTCTAAGGCTGTCGAGGCAGTAGGCCAGCCCTCAGCGGTTCCCGAGGAGCGCTCGCTCGTATACAAGGGTGTGAGAGAAGACTGAGTGGGCCAGCAGCACCACCCTGCCGGCGTCACTCCCGGCCACCCTTAATGGCTAGAACCTCAGTCTCTGGTCAAAATAACAGCTGCCCTGATAGGATGGTTTGGGGACAAAAAGAGATGGTCCACGTAAGACCGTGACAGTGCTCGGTGACTACTAGCTGATAACCGATGTCTGGGGCTACAGGGACGGTTTATTCCAGGGGTACTTGTGCAGGGCTGTGCACACGTCCCTGTTGTTCAGGCCTGAGGGGTCAGTGAAATGCTCTCTCTGTGTGACATCTTTGCAGGTACTTAGAAGTGTGCCGGAAGCCCCTACAGTGCTGCCACCTAGTGGCCGCACGCCACCCCCAGTTGGCCCGAGTTATCAATGTTACTGTCAACCCCACACTACTGTCCCCTGAAAACTACCTGGGGGGAGTGGCCTCCAGCACGGACTCGGTTTCCACAGAGAGCTAAGGAAGCTGCCGAGGCCCCACATCAGAACCTTACCAAAGACACCGTCCTATTCCGGTTAGCACAGAAGGTCGGGTTTGTTATAGAAAGAGGGAGAGGCAATGGCCTGAGAAAGGGTATGTGGACCACTACCTACCCACCCCTTTAAAGGGGACTTTTATCCGCCCTCATGAGGTGAGCTTTAGGAAAGGATGCTTCACTAACATTATTTGACCCTGAAACTTAAAAGTAGTTTAACCTGATGGTGGGTCAGGAGGAGGCGGGGAAAGAGGTCAGCCCAGCACTCAACAGTGAGCAGCCTTCAGGCGTCTCGGTTACAGTTACTCAGCTTCTCCCAGGCATTTCAAAGCAGCCTTCAAATGGATACTCTGCTGTTCGGTGACAAAATACACAGCATAAGCTTCACAACTTCATCATTCTTATCAAAAATTCTGTTTCATGTGTATGAATGTTTTTGCCTGCATGTGTGTTTGTGTACCATGTGTGTCTGGTGCTCGTGGAGGCCAGAAGAGGTCAATGAATTCCCTGGGGTTATGGACAGCTGTGAGCCACCTTGTGGGTGCTGAGAATGGAACCCAGGTCCTCTGGGAGAGCAGCCAGTGCTCTAACCGCTGAGCCACCTCTCCAGCCCCCATTCTAATCGTTGTTAAGTGTGTAGCTCTGTGGCATTGGTGACCTCTGTACACCATCACCATGTGTGTCTAAAGCCTACTTCTCACCCTGTCCTGTAGCTGAACATGAATGCCAGCTCCCTGGGGTGGGGGGGGGTTCTATCTCGAGCCAAAGCAGCTCTTTGGGACCAGCTGCCTGAGCATTGGTGCCCTCGACTACTTTCTTTAGTCCTAACCCTTTATGGTTTATCCCAGCCCAGTTCTACCCCCTACTGGGAAGGAGAAGTAACCCAGGTTACATCTGGGAAAAAGAGGTCTCTGGAGGCGTGGGCCTTGTTTCTTCAATCCGCTTTTCCTGCCAGCTCCAAAGCTTCCAGAAGATGATGGCCCTGGCCATACGTCCACTCATCACTGCTGATGGGGCCAGGCAGGCTTGGCCAGGCCTTCTTTGTACATGGCTGGCTTGAGGGCTAAGTGAATCCACTTCCTCCATTTGAGCTGCTCAGGTTAGGAACTTTGTCATGTTCATCCGTGTCTTCCTTGGGGCTAGCTCCTCAAATAGAAGCTATTGAGTCTGCACCCATGACATGCACGTTTTGTAGATGAGGAAACCGAGGATCAGGAATTCTATGTGGCAGAACAGAGATTAGAGGTGGGACTCTGAGGGCCTTTCTTGGCGTCTGGGGTAGTGTGGTAGAGAAAGGAATGAGTGAGTGTTGGGAATGACCCAGCCTGGGGAGAGGCTAGGGACACGTGGTCCCACTATGCTGGAGGGTCACCTGTGGACTCTTATCCCCAGACAGTCGAGGAGGAGGCTCTGATAAAGAATAATAATACCTGTAAGGATTTCCTCATCGAAGCCATGAAGTACCATCTACTACCCCTTGACCAAAGGCTCTTGATCAAGAACCCCAGGACCAAGCCCCGGACCCCGGTCAGCCTGCCCAAGGTAAGCCCCGGCCCAGCCTCTGCCGATACTCAGGACTGTCCAGGGGGAGAGGCCTTCCACGGTCTCTGCAGTTCTTTCTGGCTCAGGATTGCATTTGTGGCCCATGGGATGGAGTCTGCTGGCTCCTCTTGAATTCGCTGGTACTTCTCTCTGCTTTGCTTAGAGTCCCAAGGTGGCCACAGTGGCATCAGGAGATCTGAGAATAAGGTGGACACCCCCCCCCCCCCTCCCAGGCACGCGGGGGGGGCTGCTCCAAGAGAAGCAGAGGATCGGGCGCGCTGCGCTGAGGGAGTCAGGGCATCCCCAGTCCGATGCCTTTCCTCATTCCCGGAACCCATATGAAGGACAGCTAGGACCGACAGACAGTGGAGCAGGGCAGGAAGCTGGGGAACTGAGAACCTGTGGACGGGAAGGTGCTAGGGGATCCTGTGGTTCAGAGTAGTCAGCAGGGTGCTGAGTGCTTGGTGCTCTCTCTGTCTTGTCTGCATGTTTCTCATCTGTGGGATGAGGGAGGTGGCCCAGGTGGTCTCTAGAGTCCCCAGGCTTGGCAGTAATCTTCCCACCAACCATGGTAACATATTGATGGGGTGGAGTGGGTAGGGGAGTGGGGGTGGGGTGGGGGATGGTCTCAGTCACCCAGCAGGGGAGGGAGGCAGGAATGAATCACTTTAGCCACAGACTACACAGCAGGGTGTTACAAGGAAAAGTGTTTAGACTCCTACTGTGCCATGGTCCTCCTCCTCCTCTTCTCAGCTAACTCCTGGCTCTCCTTCTTGCCTGCTGCTAACACTGACCCAGCTAGCTGCTAATATTGCCCAACACTAACTACTTGGCTTCTCTGAGATTGGCAGCCCCCACCATCCCACCACAGCCCCCATCCCTCTGGACCATGAAGGGTATGGTAGATACAGTGTGTTCATATGTCACAAACATGTCAACTGGTACAAAGCAGCTCGGTCTTTATGAAGTTCTTGTCTTAGTCAAGGTTACCATGGTTGTGATGAAACGCCATGACCAACTCCAGCGTGGGGAGGAGGAGGTTTGTTTGACTTCCACTTCCACAGCACTGTTCGTCACTGAAGGGAGTTAGGACAGGGGCTCAAACAGGACAGGGACTTGGAGGTGGGATCTGATGCAGAAGCCATGGAGGGGAGCTGCTTACAGGCTTGCTCCTCATGGCTTGCTCAGCCTGCTTCCTATAGCATCCAGGACCCAGGGCCACCGGTCCAGGGGTGACATCACCCACAATGGGCTGGGTTCTCCTCCTCCAATCACTAATTCAGGGAATGTCCTACAGGCTTGCCTACAGTCCAGTCTTATAGAGGCATTTTCTCAACTGAGGTTCCCTCCTCTCAGATGACTTCAACTGTGCCAAGGTGTCATGGGTGTATTTTATGTAAAAGTCTCCACAACCCTGAACACTGGTCCCTACAGAGCCTGAGTTCTACAGAGGAAACTGAGGCTCACAGAAGTTGGATGACTTGTCCAAGTGTCAGCCCAGCCAGTGTGGTAGCCCCCTGTTGGAGCTGGGCCGTGCTCCCCCACATCCGCTCTCTGAACCACACCTACTCCTGTGCAAACCTGAGCGTGTGCTTGCTGGCTGCTCCTGCCACCCCATGTCCACTTAGAAGGTGCAAGAACAGGCTTAGAGACTTGGTCTCTCTGGCCATCTGCCTTACTGTCCCTCAATGTCTTTTGTTTTGTTGAAACATTAAACTGAAACTTATTTTATTATATCCGATTATTCGCTCTCTTCAACCCTCCCCCACCTCTCTGTGTCTGTGTGTGCATGCGTGTGTGTGTGTGTGTGTGTGTGTGTGTGTGTGTATGTATGTGTGTACATCTGATGGGAGTCCATTCTCCCTTCTACAATGTGGGACCCTGGGGTTGAACTTCTGTTGTTAAAGTTGGTGGCAAGCACTTTGACCCACTGAGCCATCTTGCTGGCCCATCCTGTATTTTTTAAATGGAGAAATGTATATTTCCTGAATTACACAAATAAAATTTACTGCAGATTAGTAAAAATACACACAACTTAGGAGGAGTGTGGAAGTCACCTGGATTTCCTCCACTGCGGCCACTGCTCTGCTGAGTTTTTTTTTCCAGAAATATTTCTGATCATTTATTCATGAATAACTGAAAATATACATTTTTATGTCTGTGGGATCTTCCGTATGGACTGAACTATGTTTCTCTGCCTCCCCCCACCCACTAAACGCCACAAACTGCGTCTCCTCTGGCATGGCATTTGAACTGCAATGGGTACATGTGCTTTGTTGTATGTCTGTACCACGTGTACCTCACAACTCTCTATTGATAGTCTTTGAAGCAATTTCTGTTTTTGTATTGCAAACGTATCTGTGTTAAATATTTCTTTATTAAATGGCGTATTTTTGTTTGTGTCTCTTTGATCTTGAGTGATATTAATCTCGGTTTTGTGTCATTATTTGTATTTCTTTTGGGGGGAACTCTCTGTTTGTGTCCTTTGTCCCTGTCTCTAACAGATTGCTTATTTTTACTGGTAGATCTTAAGGGCCTTTTCTATATTAAAGGCATCAGGGCTTGATATGTGCATAGTTTCTTAGTTGGAAGTTTTAAGCTATTCATGGTTTTTCTCCCAGCCCATGCTTGTCTTTCTGATTTCTGGGTGGTATCTTTGGAAGAGTAAAATTCATAAAAATTAGCTATTTCAGTTGACAAGAAAAATTGTATATGTTTATCATACACATTGTGATTTAAAATATTTTGAAGTATATATACGTTATAGAATGGCAAAACTGAGCAAACCAACATGTATTATAACCATATATGCTTATTTTTTTGGGGGGGCGAGAACATTTAAATTTTACCCTTACTGATTTTCAACAATGTAACATTTTATTAACTGTGGGCACCATGCTGTAGAACAGAGCTCTGGAATTAGCCTTTCTACATGTAACAGAAGCGTTGTACCCTTTGATTAACAGCTCCCTAGCCACCTTCCCTCCCCCTCTGCCTGTTGTAATGGCTGTAACTCTGTCTCTGAGTTTGTCTGTTTTGGACTCTGCATGCAGGTGAGAGCTGTCCTTCTGTCTGTCCTTCTGTGCCTGGGTTATGCTAGTGCTAAGCCCTCCGACTTTAAACATGTTGCAAATGACGAGAATTCTATCCCGCACATTGTGTCCCTCTTTCTGTTTGTCTCATGAGGACAGGCTGAGGTCATCGCTTAGCCACCCCGGACAAGGCTGTAGTCCTCATCACAGTGACAGTGTCTTCTTGACAAGGTGGCTTCACGCTTCTTGGATATATATGAGGCAGTGCGATTGCTGGATCATATGTCAGAGCTATTTTTAACTTTCTGTGGGGCCTCCACACTGTCTCCCAAAGTGTGCTCTGAATAGCAGGTGCCGACTGTTTCAAATTCTTTCCGTGGTGGTTTATTTTGAGTTTAAGCTGAAAACAAACAACCTTCCCCAAACTTACACTTTTTTTCCCCTGTAAGTTGGAACCTATACGTTTAAATCTATGGCTCTTTCTCGGAGGATCAAAAAATATGTTATATGAAGTAAAGATCAGGTTTCATTTATTCTGATAAGAATATGTTCATGCCACAGGTTGGGAGGACCCTCCCCCCTCAGTCCTTGCCCCTTTAGCTGTACACCTGGCCTGTTTCTGGGTTTATACTCTGCATCTTGCATGCTCTTTGTGAGTCACGTGACCTCACTTGTGGACCGTAAGTCCTTAGGTCCGACTGATGCCTCAGTTTTGTTCTTGGGTGTGGTGTCCGCGAATTTCAGAGTCGGCACCTTTTCACCGGGGTTGGAGTCCATCTCTAGGTCGATGCAGGAATTGTCTGGCAGTCTGCCACACGTCTGTCCCTGTTTATTTGGCTGAGTGACTTCTCTCAGAGATGTTTTCTCTTGTCCACACATGGCTTTTGCCTGCTTGTGGTCAGTTTTATTTATGGGTATTTGTTCTCTTTCTTTTGGCAGTACTGGGAGTAGCCTAGGGCCTCGCACAAGCAGTGTGCTTAGGAGACTTAGTGCTGATCCTTCATACCACAATGTCTTCCTTCTGAAATCTGACTTTTGTTAGTTTATCACTCATGTGTGGAAACACAGTTGATGGGGAAGGATATTTAATGGCTGTGTTGGTGATGTGAACGTTTGTCTGGAAAGAACAGGGATGCTGGTTTTGGGAGCATGTGTGCACCCAAAGTTGAGGCTTTGCCAACTATTTAGGGTTCCCTTCTGCAGTGTGCACTCTGCTCTAAGCTGTCTGTTTGGTGCAGCAGGCATTATCTGCTGGTGTCCTGGGCACACGGCCCAGATCCTGGCACAGGGTGGCCGATAGCAAAGGTTCTTGTGAATGATAGACATTGTTTTAAAAAAGCAGTCACGGTATGGGATTTAGCACTGACCACTTCTTCCGCCTCTCATTTGTTCCCACTGCCTTCAGTGCCCATGCATGTGTTTTTGCACAGGTGCAGTAAGAATGTGCACCCCACATTGCAGAATATTCAGCACAGCCCACAAAACCGTCCAACCCTGAGTGAACCTAGCCACCATTCCTAGGAGACTAGAAGACACTTAAATGAAGTAAACAGATCTCAGACTCCAGTCTGCTCTCGGCTGTCAGCTGTCATGTGGAAATCAATTCATTCAGTGTTCTTCCACAATGGCCCAGCAGGGGGTGGGTTGCAGATGTGCACAGTCTCGTGGCTGTCCACTCTTCAAGAGACTCCCAGGTAAAGGGAGGAGAGACAAATGTGCAGGACAATTATGCTATCCAAGTGCCATAATAAAGGAATGCCCAAGATGCTCTAGTACCATGGAGTAGAATAAGTGGAATTTCTTTATTTCTGGGCTGGTACCCAGGCTGAGTGTTCAGAGTTAATGCGGACTGTCTGTGGAGCTCATGTCTGAACACTGGCCCCCATTCTCTGATGGCAGCTCAGGGTGATGGGTACTTTATATCTTACTTCTTTCTGGGTCATTCATTGTCCTGGTTGCACAAAATGT